CTCCTCCTCCTCCTCCCAGGGGTAGGGCTCATTGCAGGCTAGGCAAGTCCTCTACCACTAAGCAACGACCCCAACCTAGAACAAAATTATTTTCTGTTTTGAGACCATATCTTGAAATGTTGGTGCAAACTATGGCCTCCCAAGAATAATTTTACGTAGTGTTCCCTAAGCTTGTTTTGTAGCAGCTGTGGCTAATTCTGTATGCATAACATCTGTAGTGTAACTCTTTGTATGTTATGATTTGGGGGTTTGCTGAGGTAGCAGGTAGACATCCTGGAGGAAACATGGAGTTTAGAGGGTTAATTCTATAGACTGAGCTATGTGCTCTCAGCCTTTGAAGCAGTTCACATAAGGCCATTCCAACTCAGCAGTGGCTTAGGAAGATAACGGCTATGTTACAACTCTTGACTAACAAGCTTGTGGTTTTTAGCATTGTTCTTCCTTCTTAGAGTTTAGGAATATCTGTCCAAAAACTCCTCCATTGGTAACAACAACAAACAAACAAACAAACAAACAAAACAATACAAAACCAAAAACAAAAAAAAACAAAAAAAAAAAAACCAAAAAACAAGTTACCTGATCCAGGCTGGACCTGATTGAAAGAGGGCCTTTGTGATCTTTACACAAATCAAAATAACCAAGAGCTGCCTTTAAGTAGAAACTTGGGCAGTAGAGTCTTAAAAATTGGATACCATCCTACTGTCAGTCAGAAGTTAAGAGGTAGTGCTTGGGTGGAATTCTCCAGAAACCTTCTCTCCCATCCCAATAAAACTGAGCTCACAAAGAAGTGAACACCCTTGAGGATGTACCCTGCCCCTTTTTCTTCTAATAAACTTTGCTAGACTTTTACTAAGTCTTGCATCTGCTTGAAATCCCCTCACGTGAAGATACAGGAGCTGAGAACACAATGCAAACTCAAGTGAGATCCTATCTCAGGTGAGATCTGCCTATCTCAGGTACCATCTTATCTTCATCATCATCTGGTGCTGTGACTCGGTCTGATAAATGATAAGGCAATCATCAGGTTTCCACTTGAACTCTTTTGTGTTTCTGACTCACAAGATTTCTTCGCCTCCTCCCCCTTACCTTTTTCTTATTTCCAAACTCAACTTCTTTTCCTCCAGTCTCTGATCCTCAAAGAAATTGTCTCTTTCTTTTTCTTTCCCGTGTGATCTTTTGAAGGCACAAGTTGGGCTTTGGAATGGAGGCGACAGCACTGGATCCTTGGGGATGCTTCAGGTCCCGGGATACAACACTCCTGGGGGAAATGGGGACTCCTGTTTCTGGGTTGCGTGGTTCTTCATGAAACCAGGGGTGATGCCTGCTTCTGGACTGAACTAGGATCCTGCACTGGACTAGGATCACACTTTCCAAGATCTCATGATATCATTTGAAAGCCAAGAGATGCCTTGCCAAAGCATGGACTTGTCTTCCTTTTCTTTTTTTTCCCGACGAGAAATGAAGCCTAGATGATGTGCTTGGTTTTTCTTTTATACTGAAGTTACATGGTTAATTGCAAAAGCAGTTAACTGTAGCTTCTGTTTTTCTGTTTATTTTATTTCCCCTCTTTCTCTTTCTCCAACTGTGGATACCAAGTTTATTTATTATTCAGGATTGCTTATCTTGACCAGGGCTTAGCAGGAATGTACACATCTGTGTACTAACTCTCACACTGTCTCAGACCAAAGAGAACAAAGTGTCTCAAGTTGCTCCAAGACTTAACCAGTGATCTTAATTTGTTTCATTATGCTGCAAAGTATAATTTGGATCCCTTTCTCTCTGTCTTCTCTCTCTTTAATATTTTTTTTTTTAAAGAGAGAGTGAGAGAGGAGAGAGAGAGAGAATTTTTTTTTAATATTTATTTTTTAGTTCTCAGTGGACACAACATCTTTGTTGGTATGTGGTGCTGAGGATCGAACCCAAGCCACACGCATGCCAGGCGAGCGCGCTACCGCTTGAGCCACACCCCCAGCCCCTGTCTTCTCTCTCTTAACAAAGGTTTTCTAAAACATTTTCTCCTGTTGTTTACTTCCTTGTTCTCTGAGGAGCTAATGATTGAATTCTAGGGCTTTTCATCTTAACCCCTTCTGACCAAAAAAGGGGGAGACAGAGTGTCCTTGGTGGACACCCCGTGGCACAGAAACTCATAGTAAAAACTTGAGCTAAAGAAACTTCGTATCATTTGGCTGGAGGTCTTTTTGATTTGCTAGACACCCCCCATGACAACCTTGTGGACTCTTATACTCTAAAATATTGGGACTGATGCTCATCTGATTCCAGGTGCACTCTGGTCTAATATAAGTGTGCTCCATGTTCTTTTACTAGAGCGACGTGGCTGTTTCATTCTTTGGCAAAAACATCTGCCTTTTTGGGCTCATGATTTTTCTGGGTAAATTCACCTTTGGTTCTACATGACTAAATTAATATACTTTTGTTCCGATTTATTTTGTTTTGTCTAGATGGCAAGCGAGAAATGAAGACGGGGACCAGACAGAGATCCACTCAAAAGTTTGTTTGTCAAAGCTGACAAATAAAGGCCTTTGTGTTGTAGGGACAGATGAGGCAAGGCTGAAGATAGCAGGAAACAGTTTTATTTGGCTGCAGCCACATTCAGAGGGCACAGCTTTTGCTGAAATCAATCAATCCCCTGAACCCCGAGTTCAGGGAGTTTCAGAATTTTGTTTTTTTATTTTATTTTAATTTTTTAAAAAATATTTTATTTTAGTCGTAGTTGGACATAATACCTCTATCTTATTTTTATGTGGTGCTGAGGATCGAACCCAGGGCCTAGCTCATGCTAGTCGAGCGATCAACCACCAAGCCACAACTCCAACCCAAGTTTCAGAATTTTATACCCAGCTTGTAAGGGGAGAGGCTCAGAAGTTCACAGTCTGCAGAAATCACATAAAAGCAATTTTTTTTTCTTATTGTTCTGGGCAAGTTACAACACTCTGGGGAAATGGGGACTCCTGTCCCTTCAAGGACCACACCTGAGAAGGGGAGAGCTGCTTCTCCCCTTTCTTTCCTCCCCCTGCCAGCTGTTACCATGGAGCCCAGTTGGTAACTTATCTTAGAAATGTAGACATCTCTGTGAAGCCCAGCTCAAGGCCAGAGGCCGTGTTTACACATTCCTACAAACTACTATATTGGATACATGTTTGTGAGAAACTATAAGGGGGTGGCCAGCACCTAGAGTGCTGATTTCTTCCCAGCCAGTGGCCAAGTGAAACAGGGCAACGCGAAAATAGGAAGTTTATCTACACTGAACTCTTTGGTAGAGACTCTTTAGGTGACAGTCCTGAAATCAGCCATGGTGAAGATTTCTGGAGAAGCCCAGTGAAGACTTTTCTTTGGAGAAAGGGGTGCTACTACAATCTCTCTATAGGAAGGAGAGAGGCCCCAAGATAATCGGGGCTTCAGCTTTTGTGGGGTAGGGGTTTGGAGTTGTAGCTGTGGTGCTATGGGATAGGCTGGGAGTGCTTGCTGGGTGGGTGGGAATAGCATGCGATTGGCTTAAGGTTATGGTACCATGGGGTAGGTCACTTATGGGGGTGGGGGAGTTTGGGTAAGAGGAAGTTGAGGAAACTTGTAAGATGGCGGTTAACGTTTAAGATGGCTGCTCAGATGTTAAATCAATACCCTGCACTGCCCCAGACATACGTTCCTGTATAGGACTTCCCAATATCTCTGTCATGTGATAAAAGTCTACAGCAGGGGCTAGGGGTGTGGCTCAAGAGGTAGCGCACTCGCCTGGCATGCATGTGGCCCGGGTTCGATCCTCAGCACCACATACCAACAAAGATGTTGTGTCCACCGAGAACTAAAAAATAAATATTAAAAATTCTCTCTCTCCTCTCTCACTCTCTCTTAAAAAAAATAAAAATAAATTAACATTGATGTTTTTTTTTTTTTAAAAAAGTCTACAGCAGTCTCTGTTTTGGTTTCTAAAAACTTTAATCTGGCAGACATTCTGTGTAATAAACATCTGTAACTCTCTTGTCCCCTACCTCTGGGGACCTAATACCTGGTAAATCAACCACAAAATTTTGTTTTTTATTTTTATGTATGTTTGTATATATGTGTAACATCTATTGTTCTTACATG